TATTAACGTCGCATTGTTCAGCTACACGAGGGCTTTTGGCGACGGATCACTTAATTTTGAATCATGGTCAAGTGACGTGGACGACACCTGAGCTGGCACCCCCTCTCCTAATTACTACACCACACCAACGGACCGACGTTTCAGCTCTCGACAGATTTAGCGTGCATCGCTGCCCTGCACGGCGGGACTTGGTGGTACTGGGCTCGAACTCGTGACAAGGCCAGCTACGATCCGATACCTTGACCACTCGGCTACCGCGGCCACAGTATATTTCTAGAACTACAACCTTTAAATTCACAAAGAATGTCATTTCTTTTAAATAGACAGTATTTCGATCAAAATAAATATCTATTTTTTTATGCTCATCTCTTTTATTTTTAAAGCTCTTGTTACAGAGAAGGGATGCCAGCTCAGGTGTCGTCCCCTTCATTTGACCGAATTTCAAAATTAAGAGATTCACTGCCAATAGCCCTCGCGTCTTTATAATGTGACGTCAAAATACGAGGGTAACTGAAATTTTTCAGATACGCGCAGACAAGAAGTTACAAAATAAAATTAATAGTTTAATTTTAAAATACCAAGTATTTTAACACAACAGACAACTTTTTATCGACTTACTTCAAGCTGTTTAGCGTAGAATAAATTTTAGACAGGAGAGAAAATGGAGTGGACGCAAGAACATTATCGTGCTATGATTTTCTGATTTTAAAGTAGGACTAAATCAAAAGGACTGCAATTAGCATTTAGTGATGAATCTCCATGTCGTGCTACTGTATTTAGTTGGCAGTGGTCACAATTCTCTTCAGAATGAAGAACACACAGAAAGGCCACGGTCTGCAGTAATCCCGGATAATGTGTCTGCCATACGAAAAATGTTTATGGATGATAATCACTGTACCTACCAAATGATACAGAAAGAACTTAACTTTGGATCCACAGCCATATACAAAATTATTCATGAAGAATTACATATGAAAAAAGTAGTTTGCTGTTGGGTTTCTCATAATCTGAGCACCAGAAAGAGGAGCGTGCCAAAATCAATAAGAAAATCTCTTAAATTGCTAAACAATGGTGGCCACCGCATCATTTCTAAAATAGTAACGGGGATAAAACGTACAAGCCGTTTTTTGACGTTTCAACACGTCAAGAAAGCAAACTATGGGTCTTTGAAGATGATCCAACGCTAACAATGGTGAAAAGCCAACGAGCAATGAAAAAGTAATGTGTATGCCGTTTCCTTCAGAAGTACGAGATTGATCAAATCCATCAAGTTGGAAGGACAGAAGACAATAACAGCAAACTGGTATACCACTAAATGTCTTCCAGAAATTCTCCAAGAAGTTAATATGTTAGGGGACTAATACTTCATCATAACAATGCATCTTTCCATACAGCTGGATTAACAGCTGAATTTCTTAAGCAAAAACAAATTAAAGTAATAGAGCATCTACCTTATTCTCCGGATCTAGCTATGTGTGACTTTTGGTTATCTTTTAATCTATAAAAGAACTTACGTGGACATAGTTTTTTCATTCAGAAGCAAAGATTGAGGTAGCATGCATTTTTTTCATAAATTTTTTTCATTTTCATGGTTTCAGGCATTTAATCGGTGGAAAATTCGTCTACAAAAGTGCATTTTGAGAAGACTACTTTGAACATTCCTAAAATTTTGTAAGTATAACTTTAAAAACCTAGTAGTATCTCAAAAATTTCAGTGACCCTCGTAACTCTCACTTAGTGTAGGAACCTCACAAACAGAAATACACTTCAATGATTTGCTTATGCATTAAGTAGCTTAAGTTTATTACGAGATCAACGATCGCGATCCAATTTTAAAGAATTAAACTCCACTTATCTAAAATAACCAGAAGGGGCGCAGAGGTTACCTGAAACTATCCTCAGGAACATCCACTCTATTTCGAATCCCTCAGATTTTAAGATCATTCTTCCAAAGGACAAACTAAAACCAATGGATGCGTATTCATCAATATAGTCCAACTAACAGCAATTCCCTCCTATATTATCCCTCTAACTTCACTTTATGTAGTCATTTGCAAAGTAATACTTCGACTTACGCTACTCCAACTAACACGAATCCGAAGTTGCACGATTTTCAGATCTCGTCGATTCATCTTTTGTTTGAGTTTGTTGTCACAACTCGATTACTCACTCCCTATGGGGCCTATGCACGTTAAATCTGTCGTGGCTCAATGTCCTCCCGTTGGTGCGGTAGTTTGGAGAGGAAGTGCCGGCTCAGATGTCGTCATTGTCACACACACTTGATCGACATTCAATATGACGAGGTCTGTCGTTTGTAGCCTTAATGTCGCTTTACAGTGCAGCGTCATTGTAATTCTCACTCTCAAAGTCGGTGGTCTGCAGCAAAGACGTATTATTAAAGTCGTAAATTCTTTAAAGTTTATGCATATGATTGATATTACAATTATGAAGAAATATAACTTTCGAGTATAGTTTAGTTTTCAGTGTTCTAACTAAAAAAAATCTATTACTTTATTGATTGCAGAGTAGAGTTTTCACAGAAATAATTCCACATTCAATTAGAATTGCAAACTTATTAGTACTATCCGTATTTATTAAACAAAATCCTCCAACGAATTTTTAAAAAACAAAACATTCGAATGAAATGATGTCTTGTGTCACTTTGAGACGAGAGCGCTGACGTCATGAGACCTTGCAGAAGACGAGACACGCTGCGGGACACCGACTTGATTGGCCCAGACAAAATTAAATCATGAGATGAGGAATAGTTCCCTTGATCCTGAATTAGGTAATAGCCAATTGTACTCTGTTCTGACGTCACTCCATTGCTGAGCCACCGAGAAAGGAGGAAAAATAGAAATGATGTGCAAGAGAAGTGTGATCCAATTTTAATTGAGTCATTTATGATGCGGGTATTTTCTCTTTCCAGCGTAGAGGTAGGATTCGGAGGAAAAACATTACCAGGAATTAACATTGGGAAGGGGGGAAAGAAAAGATAGCATAGGAGCTTTCGCGGTATAAGGGCCGTATTTCCGCTAGGCACACTACGCATGTGCCTAGGGCACAAAGATTTTTGGGCGCAAAAAAATGGAGAGCGAAAAAAGAAAAATTATAGTTACAGCGAACGAATAACGGCTAGCGAATCATGTATGCGTTGTGTTTGTGTGTGTATGTGCGCGGAACTATAGAAAACATTTACTATGGAAAATGAAAAGCTTAAGAGTTTGATGTTGCTATGCACACAAAATGATATTACATTGCAAATTGATCGCAATGGTGCCATCAATGATTTTGCAATGATTAAAGCTCGAGGAAAACATTTATTTAACAAGTACAATGACAGTGACTCACCAAAGAATAAGAATGTTTAAAATTATAATAAATTACAGTTTTAAAAAAACTAAAATACGCTTTAATAGTAAATCGAACTAAAAAGTAAAACATTTAAAATTTGATTTTTCAGTAATTAAGGAATTGTAGGGAGTTCAGAGTCTCTTTCTGACGAGGTTGGCAGTCAGTCGATCGCACTTGGCGATCACAAATACGTGAGCGCACCAACAATTCCTCTCCGGAAAGAAATCGTTAATCCTGATTACCCGGATTAGGACAATGGAACAAAACTATTAAATTATTGTAGTCATCGGTCCTTGACAAGTGTGCAAAATTTCGAATCAATCTGACCTTTTAAAGTGGGTAAAAATTGAGTTCAAAGATTCCATTACATACAGGTGAAGCAAATAAAAGCGTGTTAAAAAGATAGTAAAGCGATAAGAGAGAGTGATGATAATTAACAAGTTGATAGCAGTTCGCAAACGATCTCCTAAATTTACTGTACTAATTCTCAAAAGGGCGGGTGGTCCGTGATGCCGTAAGGTAAGAAATGTACAAGAGTGGCCAAACCATGACCACTATCCTTTCCTTATGCTGCCGTTGCCAGTCCGGCACCCGGCGGGTTCATAGTTGATGGGTAATTAATAGGCTGTCCAAAGAGCAAAAACAAAGAAACGAAAAAGAGTAAAAGAGTTAAGAGAAAATCTCTCTCGAACCAAAACTCTCAAGGTAAAAACAAAAAGAGGGGTCTTTGGAAATAGTAGGGGGGACGTAACATTTGAAGTGCCTAGGGCGCCAGGGAGGTTAAAAATGTCCTTATGCGGGATATTGATAGCCATTATTCTCATAGGATATATTTATATAGAATATTATGCAATGATGAAAAGAAAATTTATCAGAATGTGAAATGTTTTTGAAAGAGAAATCAACTATTACTTGCTGAATTTGATTATTATATCAACAAAATTTATTTAGGTAAAGGAAATGCACACGACAGAAATAAAAACACCAGTTACAGAGTTACATGACAGAAAAGCGAACAGAAAGAACCACAAAATTTCACCAAACACAATTGAAGAGAAATAACAGTTAAAGAAAGCACTTTAAGGAAAAACACAACATTAAAACATTGAGAATAAAAGTTAATGCATATTAAGAGTGCAAAAACCGTAAACTAAACTCAGTAGCGCAATAGCCCATAGAGGGCCAAAGCCTACTGTGCCTATCTCATTTCTCATGACCTTGGGCACTGAGGCGCATGAACAGATGTTCCGGTCAGGTGGTCAGTTTGACGCGAGAGAGTGATTGTGTTGTTTGATGGAGCAAGAGCCTATTTTGACTAAACTGCACCAAGCACTTGCTAAAGAATTTTAAAATAAATATAAAAACAAGTAATATTAAAAAAAATTAAGTCAATTCCTACTTTGGTTAACAAAGGAAAAATTTATTTTAGTTACTTTTTATTAAATAATTACAACTATAAATATGTATATACACATGACAGAATCACAATATTAAGTGGCAAAATAGAAAGATTTTCCTTGAAATTTTCCTTCATATATAAGGTGTTGGACTGTTATTTTTGCTTGCTACTATTTATTCATTAATTTAATTTAATTATTCCAATAAAATAGTATAATAAAAAGAAATCCCATCCTCGGAAGTTAGGCTATCCCAGGTGGGATTCGAACCCACGACCTTTGAATTAGAAGCCCAACGCGCCGTTCATTACGCTACGGGGACAAAACGAGCGCTTCTCCTTTTTATATGTGATGTTGGAGTATTATTTTTGTTTGTTACTATTTTTTTTTTTTTTTTTTATTCCTTACTTAAATTTAATGAATGCATTAATATTTGAAAAAACTGTTAACATCAAGTGTCATCCACTACAAGTTAAAAAATGCATTTGAACTTGAGTGGATGAATAGAAAGTATTTTTTTAAGAATCACTGGGGGTCTCGCTTCAGACTGACCACCTAAACGAGACATCTGTTCATGCACCTCAGCGCCCAATGGTCACGTATACTGGGGTGGGCAAAGTAGGCCCTGGCCCTCATGGAATGTTGCGCAACTGAGTTTCAGTTTACTTAATTAAATTTTACGTACGAGATGCATAGGATTATAGTCCATCAAAAAAATCAAGGGCTTTGAGGGGGGGTCTAGACCCAGGTATGCACCCCTCCCCCCTTGTATGCCACTGATTCCAATCTCAGAAAACGAGGATGACGATTGCATATTGGCATCCGATTTTCCGCATTCAATTCTTAATTTGCTTTGTAAATCAGTGCCGGAATATGAGGTGAAAAATGGGTATGGGAATAGGAGCGGCCCAAGATGAATTAGATCTCGAATGAAAGTCGAAAACTAAAAATTACCCCCAAACGCAATTGCCCGTGTCTGACGGTTACCGGCAAATTTGCCACGACCACGTCTCACACGAGTGATCTTGTATCTCGCGTTATTTTTTTCTAATGCTAAGGTGTGATCAATCGTCCTCCTTCAGTCAGGGCAGTCAGGTTTTGGGTCCTCCAAGTTGGATTTTGCAAAAGGTAAGTATGTACTTGGAGGAAGTCAGGCCTTGGGCCCCCAAGAACCTTGCTCCCCGCAATGCGAAAGTGTACGTTACGGCACGGTTCTGTTCCTTCCTCTAAAAAGTGCCCAACGTAAAAGTTCACCAAAGCAATTTTCAGTGATATTGTTTGACTTCATCGCGCAAGTACATTGTGCAGATACAGAAAATTGCGTTGAGTTTTTATCGAAAGAAGCCCCTGATATTAAAATCGATGATGGCAATTGTCTGAAGAAATTAGAAGACTAAATGTATATAGTTAAATTCTTATGAATTAGAACAATGGGAAAATCAGCATGATGAAATTGATAAAAGATGGTTTGGAAATATTTAATTGTTTCAAAAATGAGCGCATCCGATATGAAAATTTAGTTAACCTTGTTGAATTTACGTTGTGCTGCCCTGGAACTAATGCAGCAGTTGAAAGTTTTTTCAATTGGTAATGATTTTTGGACAAGTGAGAAATAAAGATTGAATGTTGATACCTTAACTACGTAAGTTCAACATGAAGGATATACCAGGGTTGGGGCAAAAGTCATGGCAACTGTTTTTTCCCTTGAAGATACCTTCCAGTTGGAAAATGGAACATATACAGACGAAAGGACAAGGTGTTAACCACATGTATGGACAATGAATAGCACTGAAATATCGTAACACACTAATTTATTACGGTAGTATACAGGGGCAATATGGTCTTCACGGTGCAAAAGAATGACAACACAGTACACTCACCGTGCTACTGCACGGTATGGTAAGGCATTATTTCCAAGGGCTTACACTAATTCACTGTGATATTCCATCGCATTTTTCCCTCGGAAAATAGCTATTTTGATGTAAGAACGCTGCTCAACACGTGGTACTTCCATCACACGACACTCACCAACTGATTGATTTCACAGCCCTCGCTGCGTTACTACCAGCTACTACAGAGCGATCTGTTCTTTTGTATACACACTATGCCTTCAGAACTTCCACACGACACATATGTTTGGGATCCATTCACATATATACAAGAAAAAAAAATAGTTGCCCCAACCCTCGTATTTCTTGCTCCGAAATTTCCGATATATTAGAAAATGATAAGTTAACCAAAAAAAAATTGATTCAATGGAAAAATATTCGTTTAAATAAATAATTAAAAGGGATGTAAACGTAATTAGTGTATTTTGTTTAGTAAAAAATCTCACATGTTTAAGTTAGTTTTTTCTGAAATTTCTGGTCCTCCTTTTCATTTGAAAAAAACTGGTCACCTTACTAATGCGCGTGTGAGATTCGTTCTAGTAAAAATAGATACGCTGGATCAGTGATGCTCAACCTGCGGCCCACCAAGAGTTTTTATGTGGCCCGGTCATGACCCATTGTTCTGAGAAACTCACTTATTTAAGAACATTGTATTAAAAATTTAGCGGGAAATTCTTTGTCAAGAAATCAAATATATCAATTTGGTTTTTGCTGTCGGGTAAGAATTGATAATATCTTTTTCTATTTGAAACGGTTTGTGACCGAGGCGCACACAAGGGGTACTGGGGGTCCGGATCCCATCCCCCCCAAAGTCCTTGATTTTTTTTCCCGATTGATTATAATTCTAAGAATGTAGTACGAAAAATTTAATTAAGTATTTGTTATTAATGATTAATTTTACTAATTAATGCTAATTATTTATTCAATAATTAGTTTACTGTATTTTGTTCCCGAAAATCGACAAAATCAAAAGGAGCATGATACAAGAATGGTGAACTTTTGACCCAGGACCCCCCCCACCCCCCACCCCTGAAAAATTCCTGTGTGCGCTACTGGTTTGTAATAATAAACAGCGGAGTAGCGACAATTTTATGCGAGGGATTAATTTTTAACTATCTTTCATGTCTTGCCAGCGAAGAATATTCGAAGAAAGTATATCGTTACAAGACAATTGGGAGGTAGACTATTTTGTAGTGAAAAACAAACACGAGAATAAGTAATTGTTTGAGATGTCACGAAAGTGCTGTATTTAAAAAATACCAATAAACAGGAATGATTCAATGACATTTTTTCTCGAAGATCTCTTTCAAGAGGTGAAAAAAGGACTTTCGTTAGTAATATTTGCTCACACAACAGCAACAAAGTATTTTGTTAGTGGTAATATAACAGCGATATGACCTGTTATGAGCGGTATGACTGCTAATATAACAGCCTCCTATGGTGAGTTTGTTATATTATTGGTAATCATATCAAACTGTTTGCTGATGCAGAAATTGTGAAGTAGTGTTTCTTAAATACTTCTAATTTAGTGTTAGTGCAAAAATAAAAATTAAAAAAAGCGAAACAGGAATTATAATATTTTGATCAATATTCTACATTTTAAATTTCCAATGTTATCTTGGTCTTAAGATAATAACGTCGCACTGTTCAGCAGCTACACAAGGGCTTTTGGCGATGGACCATGTCATTTTGAACCAAGGTCAAGTGACGTGGATGACACCTGAGCTGGCACCCCCTTCTCCTAAATACACACCATGGGAGAACGTTTCAGCTCTCGACAGATTTAGCGTGCATCGCTGCCCTGCACGGCGGGACTTTGTGGTACTGGGCTCGAACTCGTTACAAGGCCAGCTACGATCCGATACCTTGACCACTAGGTTATCGCGGCCTCTCTACACGGCGGGTCTTCAGACGCAATATGTTTTGAACTCGTGATTCCACAACGCCAGTCACAAACTCGTGTCCATGACCACTTGCTACATGGAAATATTAAAGATTAAATTCTAAGAATGTGCAGCAGGTTCCTTATTATTTCCCAGGATGAGTTCTGGTTTGAACCCATGACTAATCGTACATACCCTGTCTTAAACTTGGAGGATCTTAAGGGGTATTGAGACTCGAATTTAGTTGATAGAGTAGCAGTGAAAATACGCAGGCTCAACCTTTTTTTTAGGAAATATATTAATCATTTAAATGGTACTGTTTTGAAATGTCGAGGTGAAATTCACTCGAAAAAGATTTGTCATATTAATAAAGATTTTTTTCTAGATGTTTAAAAAAGTCCTTGTTTAAGCCATAAATCTAAGTAGTGCAATTCAATTCATAATTATACTACACACATTCATAACTAAAATAAATCTAAAACTGAGCATGAAAGCACATTTTGAATTATTTTTAAATCTCAGTGAGTAAATGAATATTAACGTCACGCTATTCAGCTACACGAGGGCTTTTGGCGACGGACCTCGTCATTTTGAACCATGGTCAAGTGACGAGGACGCCACCTGTGCTGGCCATCCCTCTCCTAACATCCACACCACACCTACGGGAGGGTGTTTGAGACGATCATCGGTCCCTCTACACGGCGTGTCTTCAACGGTACTGTTTTAAATTTGATTTGTACTAAAACTACCGTAAAATCCGACGTATAACGTGCACTTTTAACTCAAAAAATAAGATCGAAATTTACTGTTAAGCGGTTATACGTGGGGTAAATATGAGAACTTTAAAAAAAGAAAAATATCCCCCCAATGGGCTGCATATTAGCAACTAAGCCTTTGCAAACATGGCAAGTCCCCAAATGTGAGATCCATTTCAGGGTGGCACCATTTAGTGGCGGATCTTGCTACCAAATTTGGACGCTTGAATAAATAAAGGGTGTTTTTTTAGAGGTATAGAACTTTAAATTGCAATAAAACAACGATGTATTATTCGATTGACATGAATTTTTTTTATTCGAAAGATAATCTTGTGGCATTTCATTTTAAATATGATTTCTGGCATACGACTGCCACGGCTGGCTCGGATGTTGTCGAATCTGGACGTCCAATTTTCTATGACTTTTTCCAACATTTGTGGCCGTATATCGGCAATAACACGGCGAATGTTGTCTTCCAAATGGTCAAGCGTTTGTGGCTTATCCGCATAGACCAATGACTTTACACAGAAAATAGTCTAGCGGTGTTAAATCACAAGATCTTGGAGGCCAATTCACAGAACCAAAACGTGAAATTAGGCGGTCACCCAACGTGTCTTTCAATAAATCGATTGTGGCACGAGCTGTGTGACATGTTGCGCCGTCTTGTTGGAACCACAGCTCCTGGACATCATGATTGTTCAATTCAGGAATGAAAAGTTAGTAATCATGGCTCTATACCGATCACCATTGACTGTAACGTTGTGGCTTTCATCATTTTTGAAGAAGGATTCCTCC